TTAATTAGTGGCAATGTTTATTTTACTGATTTGCAGTACATTTATTTAATATACAATTACTTGCAATGCATTTTCTGTAGGAAACACTATTCAAAAAATATCACATGCATATATATATATATATATATATATATATATATATATATATATATATATGGGCAAGTTTTTTTCTTTTTCTCTACCATATTTCATTCTCTGATGAAGCTTTTATAAAAGCGAAATATGTCAATTTAAAAACTTTCTATTTGTTGCTTATCCTATCACACACACACACACACACTCACACACACACACACACACACACACACACACACACACACACACACACACACACACACATATATATATATATATATATATATATATATATATATATATATATATATTAATGCAAATATGAAATTTGTAACTTAGCTGATTGATGTTATATTCAGCATCTCGACTCCAAAGTTTTGTAGACGAAACTTTTTTGCTATTGTTCAGTGCACTCGTCAGTAGGTATCATATATATATATATATATATATATATATATATATATATATATATATATATATATATGCGTGTGTGTGTCTGTGTGTCTGTGTGTGTCTGTGTGTGTGTTCATGTATGTGTGCGTGTGTGTGTGTGCGTGTGTGTGGGTGTGTGGTCGTTTTCGCGTGTGTGTATTTAATGGAATTCCAATTCTACCTGCAATGCTGAGAATAATTTTAATTACAGAATTCCATTTCTTTCTCAGTTTCCCAATAAAAGCTACAGTAAAATTATTATTTTTTTTTTATTTATTAAAGATATTTACTGGTGTCTATAAACGTTACTTTTAGAGAGCAAACGTGTTTGAGTTGCTATCTCTGGTTTAATTTTATTTGCTTAAATGTTGAAATTAATGTCACCTAAAACTCCTCGGCTACAGAAGTGGTTTCCGTGATGGAAAAAGGTTACACAATTTCGATTCCCGTCGTTAGGCATTTTCTTTTATAGGACTTCACGATCCAGCCCTTTTGACATTAATTTCACTGTTAAAAACAAAATAAAGCAGGGACACCAACTCAAATACCTATAACCGCTAAAAATAACATAGTTAATTGACTGATTTATTTTTAACTAACTTCGGTGATCGTGTAAGCCTCAACAAAAAATAACATGTTTTTATAATAACACACATTATTGTAATCTGCGGAAGAAAATTTTTAAACTAAATTAAATGTAATTTTTTTTGGTACAATCATCAGTTGTTAGTACAAGCAATTCTAAAATTGGAATGTGTTCCGTATTCGTAAGTTGAGTGAAGAACAATATGAAAATTTGTTAAAATATATATTTTCATTTTTTGATGAATTTAAGCATCTTAATGAATTCTTTTAAAGAATTAATGAACGCTAATTGTTGCGAACGTAAATGCGACATTTGAGTTCATGAATTTAGCCTTTCAATAAAGACATTATATTTATTTATGTAAAAGATTATGCGCTTTCAGCAAATCGTCACCCTCCACAGAATCGCTAATCGCATGGACCTCGCCAACCGCGGTTTCACTTATCTGTGAGTGACCAAATCAGCAAAGCTTTTGTGTACAAAAATTTTGTCAAAATAAAACTGCTTGGCCAAATATCTTTCAAATAGCAGCAACAAAATTTCCCCTGTATAATATAATAGTTTGATAATTATAGCATTATGAAAATATTTAGAATAAATGTACTCAAATCCATCAAAATCTGATCCATGAGATTCTGTGAAGAAAACGCTTAAAATAATAATAATAATAATAATAATAATAATAATAATAATGGAAACATCAACAATCCTTGTTGTAGTTGGAGCCCTAGGATTGGTCGGAAAAGATTCCCTTTGACTAATTGAAGGGATTCCTGGAAGTCCATGCCTCAAAGAGATACAGAAAATAGTTCTCACAAGTACAGCCCACACTTTACGAAGGGCTTTATCTATGTAAAATATGTTTTTTTTTTTGTGTGTGTGTCAGTGGAAAGTGTCATGATGTTATTTCTAACCGTAGGTCTCTGGGAGGGACCCCCGAAAGAAATGTGTACACCAGAAATCAAAGGAAATAAAATAATAATAATAATAATAATAATAATAATAATAATAATAAGAAGAAGAAGAAGAAGAAGAAGAAGAAGAAGAAATCGAAATCACAAAAATGTGGCACATGGGAACATCAACAATCGCTGTTGTAGTTGGAGCCCTAGGATTAGTCGGAAAAGATTGCAGTAGACTAATTGAAGGGATTCCTGGAATCCCATGCCCCAAAGAAATATAAAAAATCGTTCTTAAAAGCACAGCCCATACTTTACGAAGGTCTTTATCTATGTAAAATGTCTTTTTTTCTATTTTTTTTTTTTTGTCAGTGGAATGCGTCATGATGCAATTTCTAACCTTAAGTCTCTGGGCGGGACCCCCCCCCGGAAGAAATGTGTAAACGCCAGAAATGAAAGGAAATAATAATAATAATAATAATAATAATAATAATAATAATAAAGGAAC